CCGCTGTTCAGGACGGGTGAAGCGGTGAATGTATTGAAGGCGGATGGCAAGCGAGTGCTCTTTGTGACCAATAATAGCGTGCGGTCGGACAAAGATTATATAAATAAGTTCATCGAGAGCGGAGTGGAGGATTTTCAAATAGTAAGCTACACTGATCTTTGATTGAGTGTATGTTTTTGTATGAGTGCGGTTAATAAAGACCTGCCGTGAGTGTTAAAAAAAATAATAGAGTGAAAAAATAGAGTCTGTGATCTAGAAAAAAAAAAACTCTTTTAGATATGTGCTTATGTTTGCTAATTAATCGTTTGCTTATTTACTTTAACCAGCACGACATTATGCATCCAGTAAAGGCTATGTTGTACTATATCAAGAAACATAATATAAAGCAACCGATTTTCTCATTATGCAGCGCTTTCGGAAATGACAAGCTTCGCAATGGAGGCATAGATGTGAGGACTTTGGTATGTATAATAAACAAGGGAATATATGGATTGGACCGATTATTTTAAATTTAAGCATGAAGCCATATTATGTCTACGATAACATAGTATTTTCAAAATTAATGGATATATTTTACATAAAGTCAACCGAAAGTTCGAAAACCAAATATTATTTATATGTGCTAGGGGAAGAAGCGAAAAATGTATAGCCTAATTTCATTCAGAGATCTTAAAAATTTAGACCTAAGAATTTTTAAAGTAGTTTGTTAAAACAACATAACTTCAATGTCTTTTTCACTGTTGCAGCTCACCAAGAAAGACGTCACACCCGATACTTTGGAGAGAATCACAAAACCGGAACAGAAAATGGGCGCAGTGTTGTTTGATATTAATTTGGAACTCTCTTATACGCAATTGGTTGCGGCCACACGATATCTAGCAGATAAAGATTGTCAATTTATTGCTGGGGGTTTAGAGCGAATGTTACCAATGACAAGAGAGATAATGGTGCCAGGTTTGTAAAATACTTATACATTCAAATATTTATGAGCATACTTCGTTTAATTCATGTAATAATATTTCCCACAGGATTTGGCGATTTTCTCGACACTCTTAGGCGCTTCACACGACGTGAGCCGACAATAGTTAGCAAACCGGCGTTGTTGCTCGGTGAAATTTTGAAGGACGTCTATAAATTGACGGAGCCCAAGCGTTGCCTTTTTGTTGGCGATTCGCTGAAGAACGATGTACGCTTCGGTCGGGATTGTGGCTTTCAAACATTGCTCGTATTAAGTGGCAGCACATCTATCGAGGAAATGCGTGCAGCAAGTGCGGAGCACCAGCCACATTTTTATGCGGATGGTATGGCGGATTTTATACAGTTATACGATAATATAGGCAAAAATACTTAAATATTGTATGAGTAATGTGCCATAAATGGTATAATTGTTAGATAATGTTGTGTGTTTGAAAATATATTTTTTTTATCAACTTAAAAAATAATATTCATAGAAATAATTACCATTTTGGATATTTCTATATAATTGTTTATATTATTATTTTTCTATAATTTAATAGTTATTCTGTCTAAAAATGGGTATAAGAGAGGCACCAAATGAAAACTTTGAGGATTTTGGATCAGCTTGTTAATCGAAATAGCTTTACCCATGCTAAGGTCGTATTGCATTGACAAATGATGATTATTCGTCTTTTATCCAAAAAAATGGTTCCTTTAGAAATTACTGTTTGATGTTGCAATAGTTATAGTAGTTAGAAATCCGAAATAGCAACAAGGTGAATTTTGCTAAAAGCACATAGGTCAAAGGCCTTGTTATTTGATACTCGTGATTTGAAAGAGATCGCAGCCGTACAAATGTTCGTTATTGAGCAGCGTTTAAAGAGCTCACGGGAGATACATAGGTCCATCACTAGAATGTAAAAAGACAGCGAAGTACCGACTCATCTGTGGCAAGTTCCATCAAGCTCGTCTGTTTTGCAGTTTCCGGTAATACCGTTGTTACCAAGCACTATCAGCGAGTTTAAGATCAATTTGGCATTATGCTATCTAAGTGAATGCACAACTCTTTGAAGAAAGCTCTACTTCGGTGCTATATATCTAATGCTATCTTGACGGATTTCATTTCCACATATTTGTAAGACAGTGAAGTTGTTTGCTAGCCTGAAGCTAGAGTTGACGGAGAACTCCCGACAGAAAACTCCTCTCCAATATAGTGTTTTCGTCTCCTACCCAGCTTAACAAAGCTCGTTATGCAATACCCGAATCTTAAAAATAAACTAGCCTCACTTTTCACTCATCTGGTGCTTGCTAAACAGTTACCCTGTATGCTGTTCGAGGTAAAGTCTCTTAAGCCTTGCAGAGAGAAGTTAAGCTGTTTTTTTTTCTAAACTTGTATTGCCGTTTACTCAGATATATTTACAAGTATTTAAAGAAAAATGTATGCCTCCACAGCTGATAACTTTCCACAAGAAGCGAATAAATTTATTCGGTAACCATTTGCTGCAATACTCGAGTGATGTATGGCGCGATATGTGGCAACGACTTTCCGCAATTCTCCAGGAAATCACGCACAAGGACGATTGGCAGAGCAAACAGTTGGAAACCGACAATTTAAATTACGCACAATTGCATTAACATTTTGAAATAAAGCGCAGTGATATTGAATTCCACACAGTCACGCATTTG